GGCTCCAGGAGAGCTGGAGAGGGACTGGGGACAAGGGATGGAGGGACAGGACACAGGGAGTGGCTTCTCAGTGCCAGAGGGCAGGGATGGATGGGATATTGGGACATTAAGAAGTAACCAGAGTCCCAGAGGTTTTCTCCACTGGCATCACCTTCTAGCAATAAGTTTCTCAGAATTGAGGAAGAAAATCTCCAAATCTTGCCCCATTTCTACCACTGCAAAAAACAGAGGAAAACAGAGGATGGGCAATAAATACACACAGGGATGACCACATTCCTGACAAGAATCCACAGAAACCAGGGAATACTGAACTCCTTTCCTGTGCTAACACAAGCAGGAGATTATTTTTAATTCCCTTCATGTGGTCTGTGCCCATATTAAAGAAAATAAAAAGGAAAACTTAACTCCAAGGAATACATTTTATCCCAATCCAAAGCTAGAGCAACTCCTGCCACTGACTCCATTGTATTCCTGCACTCCAGTTTTTCCAGCTATATTTTATTTTCTAATGTTTTTTTTCCCCAAAATGCTTTTATTTCCTGGTGCACCTGCAGACCCAAAGCTGTGTTCTCATGAGCACCATTTGAAAAATTAATGCAAGTACAACTTGAGTCAAAATTCTGCCCATTTGTGATAGTCAGTCATGACTAAAGCTGATTTGATGTCCCCACAGGCAGCATTACCCTATCCCACAGCTCCTCCAGTGAACACTCCCCAGCGTGCTTCCTTTGATGAAAACATAAATAATAACATTAAGGTATTTTTTCTTGACCAAAACCTTTTACTTTTCCCTGTTTATTTTGAATTCTCCCTCAGATCTGATTTCTGGCTCTATCACATCAGGGCCTGCAGGATGGACCAGGGACCTCATCCCCTTCATCCAAGAGCCATCCTCACTCCTAAATAAGCCTAAAACCCACTGATTATATGGAAAGCTAATTAATTTTGCACAAGTTTCCTCTTTTTTTCACTGTTGCCACACTATCCCACAAAGACAGGACTGTGTTCAGCCTCTGTTAATTAACCAGGCATGCCAAGGCCTCCTGATCCATACTAATTGGGCAGCGTGGAGCAGGAACAATGCTTGCTATCTCTGCAGAAAGGCCCAAGACAGCTCTTAAAGCTGAATTAAGCCATGAAATCTCCTCCAAGATCCCACTCTTCACCAGGAGCCACAACAGGAGCTCCACGAGCAACAGGGAAGAATTATGGGTCGTGTTTTATTTCTTTTAACATTTGAAATTGAGCCTTTCACTGAAATTAAAATAAAAGGAAGAAAAAAAGACAAAGGCTGGCAAGCAACACTCAGCACACAAACTGAGCTGCTGAAGTGGCAAGAGCTGGGATCCCAGATTTCAGCACCCAGAGCAGCAGGAAGAGTTTCCATCCCTGGCAGCCTCTGCCTGTGGGGTTCAGCACATTTCTCTGCCTTTTCCCTCAGTGTGGCTCTGCTGTTTGTCCAGAAATCCACTGGGAGCCAAGGCCAGGGCTGAGGGAAACACATCACTGGCACTTGGATCTCAGTAGTGCATTCAAATAAATTAAAATTCTGAATATTAATGCTTCCACTGAAAGAATTGTCAAAACACACACTGGAGATGTGGGAATGGCATTCCCAGCACTTCCAAGCTGTAGCTGCTCTCCTGTTAACCCAGGATGAGTTAATGAAGTCTCTACAGCTGGACTTAGGGCAATTAGCCATATTTATATTTAAATTTATTATGCATTTACACTGCAACTGTGATAAATATCATATATTTCAATGTGTGATTAAGTATTGCCAGAGAATCATGGGATGGTTTGGGTTGGAAGGGACTTTAAAGTCCACCCCTGTGCCATGGGCAGGGACACCTTCCACTATCCCAGGCCGCTCCAAGCCCTGCCCAGCCTGGCCTGGAAAACTTTACATTTCTATACATCCAGCAATAACCTATAAATATATAAACACACTATGGATGCTAGCTTTGGAACAGGCTGCAGGGAGCATGCAGGCCCATGGCCTCTCAGTCCTGCCTGAGAAGCTAGCCTGGGAATTCAAAGGAGGATTTCAAAACAATCCTCAGAGACAGAAAACAACTGCCAGGTGCTGTTTGTCTGTCCTCTTGTTTTCCCTTGCAGGAGAGAGTCGGGGGGCAGTGTGCCCCTGACCAATGATGGTGATGTAGCACTTTGCTAACCAATAAGAGTTTCATTTCTGTACTTTCCATGTATCTGTCTATAAGACAGGCCTGAAGCAATAAACCAGAGAATTCTCGTGTTGTGACTCCCTTGAGAGTCAGTGTCGTTCTTTATCGCCGTTCCCAATCGGAACGACAACACACAAATGTCAGAGCTGCCTCGAGTTCTGGATACACAACAAACAAGGCAAATCCACGTGACGTAGTTTAGACCTGACATTATCTGCACAAAGAACTGATCTGCAGGGTTTTGTAAGCAAATCAAAGCGCCTTTGTCACTGTCTCTCGCTCCAGCTGATCAGATTCCCACACACAGCATCTTCCATGGATTACCAGGTTAAATCCCAAACAGCGAAGGCACAGGATTAGGAAATGCAGATGAAAAGACCTGGGTTGAAAATGCCAGCAAGACCTTAATCCAATCTCCTCCTGTGCATCTGCAACCACAGAACTTCAAATCTTGGATGATTCTGTCCAGGGCACCAACCATGGAGCTGCTGGAGAGAATCCAGAGGAGGCCACAGAGCTGCTCCATGGGCTGGAGCCCCTCTGGAGCCAGGCTGGGAGAGCTGGGGGTGCTCACCTGGAGAAGAGAAGGCTCCAGGGACACCTCAGGGCCCCTTTCAGAGCCTAAAGGGGCTCCAGGAGAGCTGGAGAGGGACTGGGGACAAGGGATGGAGGGACAGGACACAGGGAATGGCTTCCCAGTGCCAGAGGGCAGGGATAGATGGGATATTGGGAAGGAATTGTTGGACTGGATGATCCCTAATGTCCCTTCCAACCCATAGCAGTCTGGGATTAGGTACTCCAGCTGTCTCTGGCTCTCTGAATTCCTGCCTCTTTCCCCTACCCTGAAACCCTAACCCAATTCAGTGGAGCTGGGACAGATGCTTAGGCAGAAATCGGCTCCATCCCTGATATCCAGGCAAAGGGGTCCTTCTCTGAAACAGGAATAAGAATTTGGAGTTGGGGAACAAAATTTAGAATAACCAGCTGTAGGCACAATGAGGACTTTGAGATCAAATAGAAAATTACAAAATCATGAGTAGCTGGAAGTGCCTTCAGAGGAGACTGAGTCAAGGAACCTCAATTACATCTATCAGCACCTGAACACCTGATTTGAGATGGAAATCCTACAAGTTTTACATTTGAATGGCACAGGGAATAACCTTAGAGAGGAAAAACACTGCCAGAATGTGAAGCAACTTTAGGACAGAAAAGAAATCCCAATTTTGTGCCACAAAACCCAAATAAACCTGAAGAGGGGGAAAGAAGGAGAGGAGGAAATGCCAGCCCAGATCTCTGAGCACTATCCATGCCCACCAAAAGCTCATCCCACTCCTTGGCCATGCCAGGAACAGACTCCCCACTCTACTCCCTTCAGGATTTTAATTCCATTTGCTAAATGAAATTATCCATAAAGACTGAAATTATTGGCAACATTGGTGCCACCCAGATAATCCCTGTGTGAGTCACCAGACATTTTTCCATGGAATATTAACAGTGCCATGATCCAGAGGGGTTTTCCGATACTTCAGCAGTGTAACCTATGGAAAAAGGGCTGTACCCAGGTGGGAGTTTAATCTCTAAATATACAGACCTGAGAGGGACTTTTTATTTTTAATTTATGCTAAACACAGCCTACTCAATCCAAGACAAACCCAGAGGAAATAACACTGATTCTAAGCAAGGAACTGGGAGCATCCACCCTAAAAATCCAGATTTATTGCCCACAAATGCTGCTTTCGTGCCTCATTTCCTCACTAGTTATTAAGGTATTTATTAAGAAAATTTTTCCCCCTGCCACAAAACTTTAAGTGTTTCTGGGAAAGTTTTATGCACTTTATGCTCCTCCTTAACTCTTGATAAGGAGCTTAAGGCTGCTGATGTGATCCAAGCAAACTCTGGTTGGGAGTGGGGTTTTGAGATAGGCAGATGGAATTTACAGCACAGGGAATTCATCTCCTTTTTTTCTCTAAATCAGAGCATTCCCTGGCAGTAAAGGGAATAAAGCTTATCTGTGAATATGCAATTATTCGGGGTGACAAACAGCTGATTTGTTGGAGTCACAGAATTTATCTGGGCACTAAATAAAAAGGCAGAGAAGGAACAACACCCCAGCAAAGCTCAGGAAAAAAAAAAAAAAAAAATTTAAATCAACTCCAATGTCAGCAGCGCTTTTCCTCCAAATCCACAAGAACATCTTCCCCGATGGAGAGGCATGGATGAAAGAAAGGGAGCAGGAATTAAATAACTTACTGCCACACACATATTTCCTGCACTTAAATCACCTTTTGGGAGGGTTTATTAACGGCTTTCTGGGATATTGAATTCCTCAGGCCCAGAAGGAAGAATTGTGGGAATAAAATATGGGAGAAAACCGTGAGGAGTATTTTACATCTGCTTATAGGGCAACGCTGGGGGGGTTTGGGGTTTTTGCCATCCCAACACTGCTGGAACTCTTCCCAGAGCAGCTTTTCCATGACACCTTTAAAATACCCTCCAACGTAAGTGTCCCATCAAATCTGAAGTGAGACCAGGTTTACACATTCCCCTCCTTCCCACCACTCACCCAGGGGCTGAAGAAGCTCATTCCCTTCTGGACACCACAGGAAATGATAAGATTCACCCCCCAATTGGATAAAAAAGCAATTAAAAAAATATATAAACCCTGCTCAAAAGTGGATTAATTTTCCCCACAACTCCTCTCAAGGTCTCGATGGCTGCCAAACTGGGGAGCTGCTCTTTGCAGAAAACGAGGAGGCTGGATATTGTCAGCAGAGGGTTCTGAACTCATGAAATCCCAATATTCAAAGCACTTACCTCTTCCAGGACATCTGCAAGCTTACTGAGGATCTCCTCGGGAAGGCTCTGGAATGTGGGAACGCTGCAATACAAAAGAAACCTCGATTAATGGATCCCTTTACATAGGGCACAGATCCAGCTGCTTTCCTTCCTTCTGTCTTCTTGAGATTTTTTTTTCCTTCATGCTCCAGGGCTGAACAGAAAAAACATACCATGGAAAGCATCTCCTTTTTTAGCAGCCAGGATGGATTTGGTGATGATGGGAGACCACTGGAACAAACCTCTGGAGAGCCACCCCTAAAGCTGGTAGTCAACTAGGGATCCATTCAGGATCCACTGGAATTCCTGTGAGCCACAAACCTGCTCAGTCATAGTCCTTCCTGGTTCGCTTCAGCCCTCCAGAAATAAAATGCAACACAAAAAAGAGCAGTCCCAGATAAAAGAGTGAACCACACCTGGATGGACAGAGGGCAGAGCACAGGGCTCTGCAGCACTGAGCTCCCATCCAAGCCCTCGGGGAGTTCCTGAACATTTCCCTGGTGGTTTTACAGACAAATCTGTGGCTCTTCCTTGGCCAAAAAGGTGACATTGTCACTTGTTTGGCAGCAATTCCCTCAGCAAAAGCTGCCCAGGCCAGGGTGGGATGAGAAGGTGATGCAGCCATAAAGGGCCCCCTGACCCAGGGCCCACAGGACCGCACCTAAATGAGGCTGGAGCAGGATGGGGGACACGAGTTTGGGTCCCCAAACCTCCAGGGAGTATCCTGACTTTGAAGCTGTATCTCCAGTCCACACAGGGAGGCTGTGGAATTGTCCTCCTCAGAGAGACCCAAAAGCCATCAGCACATGGAGCATATCAAACTGAACCACAGGACCTCCAGATGTCCCTCCCATGTCAGCCAGCCTGCGATTTGCAATATTCTGGTTTCTCATCCTCTCTTTTCCATAAAGACCTGAGATCCATCAATACTCCCAGGTGATGCTGAAGGAAACACACAGACACCACAAAAATTGAACCCAAAATACACCGTGGCCCAGAGCAGCTGTGGCTGCCCCTGGATCCCTGGAAGTCTCCAAGGCCAGGCTGGGCAGGGCTTGGAGCAGCCTGGGATAGTGGGAGGCATCCCTGCCCATGGCAGGGGTGGGAATGGATGGGATTTAAGGAGCAAAGGAGGCTCAGGGGAACCTTCTGGCTCTGCACAACTCCCTGACAGGAGGGGACAGCCAGGGGGGGTCGGGCTCTGCTGCCAGGGAACAGGGACAGGACAAGGGGAAACGGCCTCAAGCTGCTTGGACACCAGGAGGAATTTCCCCATGGCAAGGGAGCTCAGGCCTTGGCAGGGGCTGCCCAGGTGGAATCAGCATGCCTGGAAGGGTTTAACAGCCATGGAACTTGGGGATATGGGTCAGCATATTGGGGATGGGAGCAGTGCTGAGGAAACAGCTGGACTTGATCTTTTATGTCTTTTCCAACCTTATTCTCTGCTCATTTCCAAATTATTCTCTGCTCATTTACCCTTCTATAAAGAAAAAAATCTTCAGTTGAATCTATTTAATGATAACAAGACAAACCTGGGCTGATAAATGCAGAAAAATATCATCTTTCATGCTCAAAACAACAGCTTTTTTTCTTTTCCCTCTTAGGAAGAGCACTTTTATTACTGGGATCACGTGGAGCCACATTGTTACTGGAACAAGCAAACAACTGGACATGAATTCTGTGACAGCCAGGCTTAAGCATAAAATGAAAGTTTATTACATCAATTCCGGCATTCCCAAATGAGGAATGAACTTATGGGAGAAGATAACAGCCTGGGACAAGTGGTCAGATTTTAGTGGGGTTGTGCCTTAAACTCACAAACTGGGGAGGAACCTACCCCAGGGTATTTTTTAGGGAATAATTATGCCTGTAAAATCCTAGGAAGGGTAGAAAGACATCTATTATAGACCAAATCCATAAAAAAATCAGGGAAACTGGCCCTAAGTTCCTAACAAATTCTAGCTCTCACCATGAGAAAAGCCTAAAACTTCCAAGAGCAAATAACAGGAAAAGCATTTTGTTTGTTGACAAAACTAACTCCAACACATCATGGAATTACACCATTAATATCCCAGATTTAGGGGAGGTTTATGGCAGGCCAGAATCCCCCAAATAGCCAGAAGTGACAAAACAACCAAATATTTGCGTTTCTTTGATAAGCAGATAGCAAGACATGATTCTCCAGATCAATAAAAATCCCCCTCTGCTCTCCACAGGACAATATTAAGTGGATTCATAAACCAGAGTCTCAATTCCCTCCACAGAACTGCCTAGATTACTGAAGGAGCTGTGTACAAAAGGAGTGTTTCCATGATTATTTCCAGGTGGGTACTTGCCCTGAAAGGCAAATGGAGCCTCAGCTCTCCAGGGAGAGCCTTGAGCAAAACAGCTGAGCTGCAAATTGCTCCAAGTGGGAAAACACACAGGACAGAGGCAAACAGGAGCAGAAAACCTCCCAGGGAATCTTTGATCACCACAGCAAGAGGCAGGAAAATTGTATTTCCCTTTCTACAGCTGTGTGAAAAAGGCTGGAACTATTGAAGGGCAAACACTCAGCCCTTGAGTTGGGATGTATTTAGGGTAGGAGAAATCACAGCAACAAACTGCTCCAGCTGTTCAAGGAACAACTGTTCTGCCCAACAAAGCAGGGTCAAACAAACCCAGACTTTCCCCAACAAGTTCTCCTCTCCTGCTCCTTAAATCCCATCAATAAAGAAAAATTTTAAACACCCACTTCAGACAGTAATAGTGCTACAGCTGACAAAAACAGATATTCTGGTATGTAACACTGAAAGTCCTCAGCAAAGCTTGAAACTTGTGACATTTCTCCCTACCTGCAATACAAGTGAAGGATTTCACTTGTTCCTTTTTTTACACAACCATCTCCCATTTTGCCCAGGAAAAGCTGGACTTGATCATCTTGAAAGTTTTTTCCAGTTTAATGACTGAGATTCAATTGTAGAATAAATAAGAGCAGCTTGCCAACCTCTCACAGCACGATGGGACTCCTTCTATTTTCCTTACCCAGTCTTTATAAGGAACTTTCTCCAGTTGCTTCTTATTGCACTTAATGAAGAGTAATTTCTCCACATGCCCTGAATCCACTCCCTGGATGAAGTTATGGAATTCAGCTGGGGATGGAATAGAACTATTCACTATTCACTGACCTCCTGCTCACCTGCAGCCCTTCTGCTCCTCCAAGTTCTTGAAGGTGATAGGGCGTTATAAAGTATGGATAGCAAATTATTTATGCCTATTGTGTAGGATCCCCTGGCAAAAGTGCAGCCCAGGATCCACAGGAGGATCCAGGCCACCCTACAGAGACAGCAAACAAGGAGGCAAAGCAGATCCCTAGCTCCAGGGATTTGAGTTTTAACAGAAAATGCAATGAATTGGATGATTTTAATCCATCCACACAGAGCTTTTATCAGGAGAGTGCGAGTGCCATCGCAGGGAACAGGATGAGGAACCTGCTCCAGCCACCCTGCCCCTACACCCTGGACAGTGAGCAAGGGAAGGAGGAGAGGTGACATTTTCCTGGCTGCATTCCCCACTGCTCAGCCACGGAACATTGTGCAGGGATGGCAGTTCCTGGACCCAGGAGAATTTCCCGTGGGGAACTGCTCCCTGTCTGAAGCGATTCTGCCTGGCTCCAAAAGTGACACATTTTCCCAGAGAGCTCAACATGCCCAGCACCAGCTGCCAAACTCAGAGAAAGCAGCTGTGCTAAAACATCCGTGGGTTGAATCCCTGTCCCCATGGAGGAGCAGGGATATGCCCAAATTCCCGAAGGAAGTGGGAAAGGTCATGGCTCCATCCCTGAGGATGCAGTCACCACACTGCTTTCAACTTCCAGGTGGAAGCAACAGCCCCACGAACTCATGCTTTGATTCATCCCTGTGCTCCATCCCACGGGATGGCTCCTGGAGGAAGCAGCAAGGGCTTCCAAGCAGTGCTGGCTGTGGCCCAAGGCGTTGTTTGCAGCCTCAGACGCGCTCGGATGCAGCGCTGCCAGCTCTGACAGGACATTTATCTTCTGACACACACACACACCACAGCTCACAGGGCTCCTGGCTCTGCTCTGCCTCCAGGCTGTAAAAGCAAACATTCACTCTCTAAATCCCTTTCAAGATGCATTCCCAAACTTTTGAAGGGTGTTCAGTGAGGGTGCTCATCCAGGTCAGTGGCAGATGTTTCTCCTGGTTTTGTTTCTTCTGGAACAAAACTTCTCTCTTTTATTGCTGCTTGGCACCATCACAATTGCAGTTGTCACTGCTCTGTGCCTTGGGTAATCAGAGCTCCAAACTCCAATACTCCAGTAAAAGGAAATGAAGGATGAGTTCCCTGAAACTTCTTTTTGGCACCCAACTGGAATGAAGGCTGGAAAATGCAAATGTCCTTCCTTAGCACACTTGGGCTGCTCCTAGAGCTCTGTCTCAGTTCCAGAAGAACTGAGGTTACATCTGAACAGCCCAAGCTGATCCGTGATTTGGGATATCACCAAAAAATGGTGTTTTGGAAAACTCAAGCTGTACAGGCAGCCTCACACTGGGCTCCCAGTTGTGTCAGGGAGGGAATGCTAGCTCCATTGGGATCGTGGTCCTGGCATAATTTCATAGAATCAGAGTGGCTGGGGTTGGAAGGGACTGTAAAGACCATCCAGATCCATGGGCAGGGCCACCTTCCACTATCCCAGGCTTCTCCAAGCCCCAAAGTCCAGCCTGGCCTTGGACACTTCCAGGGATCCAGGGGCAGCCCCAGCTGCTCTGGGCACCCTGTGCCAGGGCCTGCCCACCCTCCCAGGTACATTCCTGTTGTGTTGCAAACTGCTGCATCAAAAGATAATTCCTCTTTTCTGTCAGATTAATAAATATTATTTGGAGGATCAACTGCTGGTTATTTTCATTCATAGTACCCAGAAGGGAAGTGGCAGAAATTAATTTCAGGAAAGGAGTATCTATTTCTCCAAAAATCTCAGTCCTTCCCCAGTCACACAGGTAATTGCTAAGTCAAGGCTGGTTTTCCTTTAGCAACTTCCCATAT